TAAAAAAAAAAAAAAAAAAGAATTAAAATAGAGTTTTTTTTGAGTCGACGTCTCACTCTGTCACCCAGGCTGAAGTGTTGTGGCACGCTCATGTCCACCGCAGCCTTGACCTGCTGGTTCAGGTGATCCTTCCACCTCAGCCTTCCAAGTAGCTGGAACTGCAGGCATCTGCCACCATGCCCGGCTAATTTTTGCTTTTAAATTTATTGTGTAGATGAGGTCTCACCAAGTTGCCCAGGCTGGTCTCAAACCCATGGGCTCAGGTGATCCTCTCACCTCGGTCTCCCAAAGTTCTGGGATTACAGGCGTGAGCCACCATGCCCTGCAAACATTTCATTTTCTATAGATTTATCATATTTTTCCCTTTACAGAACTAAAGTACAAAAAGCAATTCTACACAATCATCCATTATAGGTACAAAGATTCATAATGTATCCAGCTTTTTTTGAAAAACTTAATACCTAGTTGCTTCCAGTAGTCATTAAGATTTTAGTTCTGTTCCTTGAATTACATTCCGAATCTTCTCAGCATCATTTTGGACTATCTTGTTGGATGGATCAATCTTAAGTGCAGCTTCATAATCCTGTAGGCCTATATTTATATAGAAATGATGATCAATAAAATAAATATTTAATAAGTATTTGTCTTATCTGCAATCACTTTTTAATTTATTTATTATTATTATTATTACTATTTGAGTTGGAATCTCACTCTGTCACCCACCCTGGAGTGCAGTGGCACTCTCATGGCCATCACAGCCTCGACTGCTGGGCTCAGGCGATCTTTCCGCCTCAGCCTTCCAAGTAGCTGGAACTACAGGCACACGCCAACATGCCCAGCTGATTTTTTTTTTTTTTTTTTTTTATTTTAGAGATGAGGTCTTGCCAAGTTGCCCAAGCTGGTCTTGAACCTGTGGGCTCAGGCAATCCTCTCAGCCTCCCAAAGTGCTAGGATTATAGGCATGAGCCACCACGTATGGCCAATGAGACTTTTTTTAAAGGATGGGGCATATAAACTTAATTTGGATATTTTGGTTAGAGAAATCCCCTAAAAATGAAAGAACCAAGTTTAAAAACAAACCCAAGCCAGGCATGCCATGGCTCACGCTTAAAATCTCAGTACTTTGGGAGGTGGAAGTGAGGCGATTACCTGAGCTCAGGGGTTTGAGACCATCCTGAGCAACATGGCAAGACCTCGTCTCTACAATAAATCAAAAATTCACCCAGGCATGGTGACTCATCCCTGTGGTTGCAGCTACTTGGAAGATTGAGAGAAGGATTACCTGGGCCCAGGAGTTTGAGAACAGCCTGAGCAATTTGTGGAGACCTTGTCTCTACAATAAATAAAAAAAAAATGGGGCCAGGCACTGGGATTACTCAAGCCCGTAATCCCAGCATTTTGGGAGGCTGAGGTGACGGGATTGCCTGAGTTCACAGGTTCGAGAACAGCCTGGGCAACTTGGCGAGACCTCATCTCTACAATAAATCAAAATATTAGCCAGGGTAGTAGCACGCACCAGTAGTTCCAGCTACTTGGAAGGCTGAGGTGGAAAGATCGCCTTAGCCCAGCAGGTCGAGGCTGGGGTGGCCATTAGCATGCCACTGCACTCCAGCCTGGGCGACAGAGTGAGACTCCAACTCAAAAAATAAAAAATAAAAAAATTAGCTGGGTGTGGTGGTGCGCACCTGTGGTTCCAGCTACTTGTAAGGCTGAGGTGGAAGATTCACTTGAACCCAGCAGGTCGAGGCTGCAGTGGCTGTGAGCGTGCCACTGCACTCCATTCTGGGCGACAGAGTGTGACTCCAACTCAAAAAAATAAAAGACTTGGGCTATTATAAATTTTGTCTTTGGACACTATGAGTAACTGCAGATAGTCCCTGAATATATCAAAAAAGAAATATAATCATTGTTCATGCACTGTGGCAGTGCAGTTACTTCTGAGACTATGTACATACATACAGGATATGACCAAGGCAACTATCTGTATTGTATTATTGTATTGTATTTTTTTTTAATAGGAGTCTCACTCTGTTGCCCAGGCTGGATAGAGTGCAGTGGCACGCTCACAGTCACCTCAGCCTTGACCTGCTGGGCTCAGGTGATCCTTCCACCTCAGCCTTCCAAGTAGCTGGAACCACAAGCATGTGCCACCATGTCTGGCTAATTTTTTTATTTATTGTCAAGAGGAGGTCTCACAATGTTGCCCAAGTTGGTCTCAAATCAGTGGGCTCATGCAATCCTTTCACCTCTGTCTCCCAGAGTGCTGGGATTACAGCTGTGAGCCACTATAACTGACCACAACTCATTTTGAAATTTCTATTATGTTTCTTTATCTTCCTCTCTCTCTCTCTCTCTCTCTCTCCTTCCTTCCTTCCTTTCTTCCTTCCTTCCTTTCTGTAGGAGTCTCACTCTGTCACCCATGCTGGAGGGCAGTGGCATGCTCACGGTCACAACAGCCTCGACCTGCTCAGATGATCCTTTCACCTCAGCCTTCCAAGTAGCTAGAACCACAGGCACGTACCACCACACCTGGCTAATTTTTTATTTATTGTAGAAATGAGGTCTCCCCAAGTTGCCCAGGCTGTTCTCGAACCCTTGGGCTCAGGCAATCCTCTCACCTCTGTGTCCCAAAGTGCTAGGATTATAGGCATGAGCCATGATGCCCGGGCTGAGCCACCATTCCTGGCACATATATATTTATAGAAAACTTGTTAGATAATACAACATTTTCCTAGACCAAAACTTGTTTACATTTTAATTCTCTTCCACAATTAATTTTTAAAATATAATCTGAGGCCAGGCTTAGTATCTCACGCCTATGGTTCCAGCTACTTGCAAGGTTGAGGCGAAAGGATCTCCTGAGCCCAGCGGGTTGAAGCTGTGGTGGCCATGAGCATACCACTGCACTCCAGCCTGGGTGACAGTGAGACTCCTACTCAAATACATAAATAATTTAAAAATCTTTTTATTTTCTTTGTGTGTTATGGGCTCATTCTATAACCCAGACTGGAGTACAGTAGCACGATCATGGTTCAGCGTAGTATCCACCTCCTGGGCTCAGTTAATTCTTCCACTTCAGCTTCTGGAGTAGCTGGAATTACAGACACCACCACCCCACCTGGCTAATTTTTTACTTTTTTTTATAGAGATAGGGTCTTGCTGTGATGCCCAGGTTGGTCTCAAACTCCAGGGTTCAAGCAATTCTCGTGCCTTGGTTCCCAAAGTGCTGAGATTTCAGGCATGGGCCACCACTCCCAGCCTCAAAATAATTTTTACTTTGTTAGATATGTTGCAAATATTGCAAAGAATAAATTAAATGCTAAAAATACAAAAGAAGAGAGTCTTAAAAAGTCATGATCTTAAATAATACCAATGATATTTTCTTCAGATTATAATTTAAAACTTAAAAGACTTCTATTAATTTCTTACCTTCTACATACAATTCTAGTTGACAAAATGCTGTTCCACGTCGTACATATGCTTTCATTCTTGCATTAGCATTGTCTGCAACAGGTGGCACCAATAATTCCAGTGCCTTACAAAAATATGCATATGCTTAATAAGAGAAACATACAATTTCCTAACTTAAGCTTGAGCAAAAACATGCTAACAATTCTAATTTTAAAACAAACTTCAAGCCCTCACTTATCTAAAATTTTGGCTTAGCTGACTCACCTAGATTTATCAAATATATATATATATGTATATTTATGTTAGCAGTTTAAGTTTTCAGTTGTTCAGATTCATAGTCCCCAAAATTATGATTTGGCTTATCATTTGAAACCTCTACAGCTTTACCTTTACTAGCAGGAATGATTAAATAGTATTTGTGGGTTTTTGTATTCAAATTGGGTAATTCCATTTATTCATTCATTTAATAAATATTTGTTTGTGATAGAGAAAAACAGGATCATAAAAATATGATGAGATCAAAGAATGAGTATTTGGTTGTATACTCCATATCCTCAATCTGAAAGAGGCACCTAAGTGACTTTGCACATGATGTTCCCTTATTTATTTGTTTGTTTATTTTTGAGTCAAAGTCTCACTCTGTCACTCAGGCTCAAGTGCAGGGAGATGCTCAGGGCCACCACAGCCTCGTCCTGTTTGGCTCCGGTGATCTTCCTTCCGCCTCCACCTCAGCTTCCTTCCAAGTAGCTGGAACTAGAGGCACCCACCACCACGCCTGGCTAATTTTTTGATTTATTGTAGAGATGAGGTCTTGCCAAGTTGCCCAGGCTGGTATCAAACCTCTAGGCTCAGGCAATCCTCTAGTCTCTGCCTCCCAAAGTGCTGGGATTACAGGCGTGAGCCACTGTGTTGGGCCATGATGCTCCCTTAAAACAAGTTACCCTTTTTTTTTTTTCCAGTTGTAGTTTCACTCGGTTGCCCAGACTGGAGTGCAGTGGCCGCTCCTGGTCACCGCAGCCTCTGGTGATCCTTCCGCCTCAGCATTCCGAGTAGCCGGAATTACAGGCATGCGCTACCATGCCCAGCTGATTTTTTGATTTATTGTAGAGATGAATCTCGCTGCCCAGGCAGGCCCAGGCAGGTCTTGAACCCGCGGGCTCAGGCAATCCACTCACCTGAGCCTCCCAAAGGCGCGGGATTACAGGCTGAGCCACCAACCCAGGTTTATTTTATTTTATTTTTTGAGTTGAAGTCTCACTCTGTCACCCAGACTGGAGTGCAGTGGCCATTCCCAGCCACCGCAGCCTTGACCTGCTGGGCTCCGTTGATCCTTTCGCCTCAGCCTTCCAAGTAGCTGGAACTACAGGTGCGCGCTACCACACACGGCTAATTTTTTTGATTTATTGTAGAGATGGGGTCTCGCCAAGTTGCCCAGGTGGGTCTCGAACCCACGGGCTCAGGCAATCCACTCACTTCGGCCTCTCAAAGTGCTGGAATTACAGGCTGAGCCACTGAGCCCGGCCTAAGTTACCCTATTTTACAAGGAAAAAAGAAAAAGCTGTAGAAGTTCAAGACATTCACATGAAATATTAGTAGTAGAAATTAGAATGTACTAAGTTACCCTGAAAATGAGAAAATGATTACAGAGACATCCTTTTACTGTGCAAATCTCAGAGATAACAAGGGACTTAAGTCTGAGAAACCCTAATAAGAAAAAGGGAACCTGGCACAGTGGCTCACACCTATAATCCCAGCACTTCGGGAAGCGGAAGATAGAGAATTGCCTGAGCCCAGGGATTCCAGACCAGCCTCATTGCTACAATAAATACAAAATTAGCCAGGTGTGTTAGCAGGCACCTGCAGTTCCAGCTACTTGGAAGGTTGAGACAGTAGGATCATCTGGGCCTAGTAGGTCGAGGCTGTGGTGGCTATGAGCATACCACTGAACTCCAGCCTGGGTGACAGAGTGAGACTCTGACTCAAAAAAAAAAGACAAAGGGTGAGAACTGACAACCATTTACTCATTTCCTCATGAACTTCAACTGATACACCAAGGCCGTACAGTAATAGCTTATTTCTAATATAATTAGAAGTCTAAGCCAGGTGTGGTGGCACACGCCTGTAATCCCAATACTTTGGGAGGCCAAGGTGAGAGGATTGCCTGAGTCTAGGGGTTTGAGACCAGCCTGGGCAACTTGGCAAGACCTCATCGCTATAATAAATAATAATTTAAAAAATTAACCGAACGTGGTAGCACATGCCTGTAATTCCAGCTACTTGGAAGGAAGGCTGAGGCGAAAGAATTACCTGAGACCATCACATCAATGCTGCAGTAGCCGTGAGTGTGCCACTGTACTCCAGTCTGGGCAACAGATTGAGTCTCCAACTCAAAAAAAAAAAAAAAAAAGAATCATATATAAATAGATATACATACCTTAGAAGAATCTTCAATAGCCTTGTGTAAATTTTTTAATTTTAGGTGGCAAGCAGCCCGATTCAGATACAGTAGTGGAATTTTATTATTTAATTTTATGGCTAAGTTGAATGCATTGATAGCTGCCAAATAGTTTTCTGTTGCAAACAATTTGCTAATGAGACAAAAACAGAAAAGAAAAACAATATAACATTGAAACAGAAATACTATTTTACAATAGTATTTGGCAAAGGGAATGGCTTAACTCTATGTATTCCCTGTAGGATAGACTGCTGGCTGCACCGACTCCATCTCTCTTCCACATACACCAGCAGGTAATTGGAAGGGGATGGACCTCACTCCCGTCTCCACAGATAGCCATCATTAATTTAAGCCAGTAGACATATTTCTATCCCCGCCTCCGCTACAATGACTGACTCAGTGATGGGCTTGTAACCTGTACTGATCTATTCAGAATGAAGCCTGTGACTGGTTTCAAAGTTGGAGGATGAAACGCTGGGAAAACTTCTCCCCCTGCTGGATACGAATGAAGAACGCATACAGCCGAAATTGCTGCTCACCATTTTTAATACTATGGGAAGAGCTAGCACTAGAATAAAGCTGTTATGCACTTTGCGAGGTGGAGGTGGAAGGATCCTTGAGGCAAGGAATTTAAGAACAGCCTGGACAACACAGACTCCCCTCGACCTCTACCAAACAAAAACAAAAACAAATGATTATGACTGTATTTCAATACAACCTCATTTAAAAAATAATAAAACTGTTACTGTGGAAGTATGGAAGGAATAAAAAGGCAGAACGAAACTGAGTCCTAGGCAGGCACTATGGCTCATGCTTATAAGCTTATAATCCACTTTGGGAGGCAGAGGCAAGAGGACAGCCTGAGCCCAGGGGTTTGAGACCAGCCTGGGCAATTTGGTGAGACCTCTTCTCTACAATAAATCAAAAAATTAGCTGGGCGTGGTGGTATGCACCTGTGGTTCCAGCTACTTGGAAGGCTAAGGTGGAGGGATCACCTGTGCCCAGCAGGTCGAGGCTGCAGTGGCCGTGATGCCGCTGCGCTCCAACCTGGGTGACAGAGTAAGACTCCAACTAGGAAAGGAGGGAGGGAGGGAGGAAGAAAGAAGAAACAAAGTCCTTCATGATACAGTTAAGCTGCTGGATCAAAATTTACCTGGAACTGGGTACGGTGACTCATGCCTGTAATCCCAGCACTTTGGAAGGCAGAGGTGAGAGGATTGCCTGAACTCAGGGGTTTGAGACCCGCCTGGACAACTTGGCTAGACATCATCTCTACAATAAATAAAAAATTAGCCGGGTATGGTAGCACGCATCTGTGGTCCCAGCTACTTGGAAGGATGAGGCGGAAGGATCACCTGACCTAGCAGGTCGGGGCTGCAGCGGCTGTGAGCATGCTACTGCACGCTAGCCTGGGCAACAGAGTGAGACTCCGATTCAAAAAAAAAACAATCAAAACAAAAAACCCAATACTTTGTATTCATTTCCATTAGCTTATTCTGCATACTTTGCTGCTATAGAATATTAAACACAACGACATCAAAAGTAGACCTATAAATTATGCAGCCTTTTATGAATAAAAGGTAAGATGACACCATTGTGACATCTTTTTTTTGTTTTTTTTTTTTTGGGGTGTTGGAGTCTCACTCTGTCGCACAGGCTGGAGGGCAGTGGCACGCTCCCGGCCACTGCATCCTCGACCTGCTGGGCTCCGAAGATCCTTCCGCCTCAGCCTTCCAAGTAGCCGAACTACAGGTGCACACTACCATGCCCATCTAATTTTTTGATTTATTGTAGAGATGAGGTCTCATCAAGTTGTCCGGGCAGGTCTCGAATCTGCAGGCTCAGGCAATCCACTCGTCTCAGCCTCCCAAAGTACTGGGATTACAGGACATCTAACTTAAGCTGAACTCAAGCTTAACATAATTTGTACAAACTAGAAAAGCTAATTCTGTGGGAACAGTTTACATTTCTGAAATGCCTCATATCAGCTAGGATATTTCTGACCACAAGTAAGAAAATCCCAACTCAAATTGATTTAAAACAAGTAAAGAAATATATTATCTCACATTTTAAAAAATTTTATTTATTTTATTTATTTATTTTATTTTTTTGAGTTGGAGTCTCAGTCTGTCGCCCAGATTGGAGTGCAGTGGCCGCTCCCAGCCACCGCAGCCTTGACCTGCTGGGCTCCAGCGATCCTTCTGCCTCAGCCTTCCGAGTAGCCGGAATTACAGGCATGCGCTACCACGCCCGGCTGATTTTTTGATTTATTATAGAGATGAGGTCTCGCTGCCCAGGCGGGTCTCGAACCGGTGGGCTCAGGCAATCCACTCACCTCAGCCTCCCAAAGGCGTGGGATTACAGGCTGAGCCACTGAGCCCGGCCTATTTATTTTATTTTATATTTTATTTTGAGAAAGCAGGATTTATTAAGAGGCCAGAAAAGTTCCTGTCTGAGCGAGAGGGGACCCAAAGGGGTTGCCCAATTTCAATTTTAAATGTCCAGAGGGAAGAGGCTCCATGGCCAATATCATCAGCAGCTCAAAGAAGTTATCATTGCCTCAGGTTCTTCCCATCTCTCTGTTCTACTGTATTCAGCAGAAACTTCATGCCAGGGCTGATTTTCCTCTTGGATATATCAGTTCAAGGTGGCACATTCAGGCATAATATCCAGCAGAGGAAAAGTCAACAGTACTTTCCAGTATATGCTCCCTAAGAGCAAGAAAACTTTTCCCAGAAACCTCCCAGTTTACCTCCTTTCATCTCTCCTTGACCAAAAGTACCTACATTTTTTTTAAAGTGTTTCTTTTCCTCTCTTCCTCTTCTGTCTCTCTCTCTCTCTCTCTGTTTCTCTCTGACCTTTCCCTTCTTCTCTCCCCAGTTTTACTCCTCAGTACTATATATATATATATATATATATTTTTTTTTTTTTTTTTTTTTTTTTTTTTGAGACAGCATCTCTCTGTTGACCAGGCTTGAGTGCAATGGCACAATCATTGCTCACTGACACCTCGATCTCCTGGGTTCAAGCAATTCTCCCGCCTTGGCCTACTGGGATTATAGGCATGTGCCACTATGCCCAGATAATTTTTATATTTTTGTACAGATAGGGTCTCCTTGTGTTGCTCAGGCTGGTCTCAAACTCTTGGCCTCAAGCAGTCCTCCTACCTCAGCATCCAAAAATGCTGGAATTATAGGCGTGAGCCACCATGCCTGGCCTGGTTGGAACATTTTAAAAAATGCAAAAACATGACCATCCTTCCATGTTAGTAAATAGAGAGATACATTTTTACAGAGTATGTATAATACACAAATTATTCCCCAAATTTCTGAAACCAGTTTCCTCCTACTGAAGTACATTTAGGAGTCTTGTTTCCCAATATTTCTTTTTTTAATGTTTTTTTTATTTTTTAGTTGGAATCTGTCTTCCAGGCTAGAGTGCGGTGGCACGCTCATGGCCACCGCAGCCTCGACCTGCTAGGCTCAGGCGATCCTTCCGCCTCAGTCTTTCATGTAGCTGGAACCACAAGCACACACCACCATGCCTGGCTATTGTTTCCCAATATTTCAATGCAATGTTGCTTTTATAAACATTATAATAAATATTTTTATACATACATCTTTTTTTTTTTTTTTTGAGTTGGAGTCTCATTCTGTTGCCCAGGCTGGAGTGCAGTGGTGTGCTCATGGCCACCACTAGCCTCCACGTGTTTGGCTCAGGTGATCCTTCCACCTCAGCCTTCCAAGTAGCTGGAACTACAGGCATGCGCCACCACACCCAACTAATTTTTTGATTTTATTGTAGAGATGAGGTCTCACCATGTCGCCCAGGCTGGTCTGAAACCTGTGGACTCAGGCAATCCTCTCGCCTATGCCTCCCAAAGTGCTGGGATTATAGGCATGAGCCATCACACCCAGCAGTAATTCTATTTTTTTAAAAGTTTTCAAATGGAGTTTATCAGTGAGAAGAAGAGAAGAAAAAAGGAAGACTCATGACAGAAAGATCTGCCATGGGCAAGTTTCTCTAAAAAGAAAAACTACCTGTTATTAATTTTTTTTTTTTTTGAGTTGGAGTCTCACTCTGTCACCCAGACTGGAGTGCAGTGGCCGCTCCCGGCCACCGCAGCCTCGACCTGCTGGGCTCTGGCGATCCTTCCGCCTCAGCCTTCCGAGTAGCCAGAATTACAGGCATGTGCTACCATGCCCGGCTGATTTTTTGATTTATTGTAGAGATGAGGTCTCGCCAGGCAGGTCTCGAACCCGCGGGCTCAGGCAATCCACTCACCTCAGCCTCCCAAAGGCGCGGGATTACAGGCTGAGCCACCGAGCCCGACTTTGTTTTTAATTTTTTAAGGAACCACCATAGTGTTTTCCATAGCAGCTGAACCACTTTATATCCCTACCAACAATGCATTAGGACTGTTTCTCCACATCTTCATCAACACTTGTTATTGTGTTTGTTTATTTGTTTTGTTTTGGTTTGGTTATTGTAGACGTGGGTCTTACTCTGTTGCCAAGACTGGTCTTGAACTCCTGGCCTCAAGTGATCTCCTACCTCAGCCTCCCAAAGTGCTGGGATTACAGGCATGAAGCACCATGCCTACCGGCCATTCTGAGTTATTTTTAAATACAGTGTTAGATAAGGGGCCAACTGCATTCTTTTGCACGTGGATATCTGGTTTTCCCAAGCATCATTTGTTGGAAATCATCTGACCATATACGCAGTGGTTGGTTTCTATTTATTCTATTGGTCTATATGTCTGTATCAAACTTATATTAATATACACATTTGAAGAACTTTTCCATTTTTTTGTCATCAACCTAAGTTTATAGGTATATAATGGAACGGTTATATCAGAAAAACTCTCCCAGGTTCTAAGGGAAAAAGAACTTACAATGACCAGTATTAAAAGAATCATTAGAGAAACCATTGTAGCAGAAAATATAAAGTATTTACAAATTTTAGCCAGGTGCGGTGGCTCATGCCTGTAATCCCAGCACATTGGGAGGTGGAGACGAGAGGATTTCCTGAGCCCACGGGCTCGAGACCAGCCGGACAACATGGGGAGACCTCCTCTCTACAGTGAATTGAAAAAATCAGCCAGGCGTGATGGCGTGCGCCTGTAGTTCCAGC